GGTTTGGCTTTAGGTTTTTGGACACGGATCGACGTGACTTTTGCTTTATTTATGCCAATTTATATGCATTAGCCGGTCTCTTGCGATCGCGTGCGCAGAAATGATCGTCTTGTTCTTGCCGTTATTTCTAATTAGATTAGGGTGGGACTTATTTGCACACTCTCGCACTCGCACTCTTTCCGCCGGTAATTACACATCACCCATCTCGTTCTTCAGCCCCGAGAATTATATTGGGCCAATCCCTTGTGCCGGATTTTCTCGAGCAGAGTGTCTTTTGTTTGGCCGCGATCTTTTCATTTGGCGACCTCCTTTTCCCTCACCTTTTTATTATTTTTTGGTTTTCTTTGCTACTGGTTACACACTCCGTTCGAAAAAAGCCTTGAAACACGTTCTCGAATGGGGATCGGAACAAGGAACAGGCGCAAAAGGTGTAGCACGAACGAGAAGTAAACCCGTTTCGACGCCGGCTCCCCAAACTGATTTACCTACACTACTCCACGCACTGAGCCGAGCACTCAGAGAAACGGGCAGCGTGTTCCAAGCGGAGGCCCAGCATCCACACTGCGAGAAAAAATTGACTGATGAATCCTATAATTACTATGTAAGCAATAAGCCATAAGCCATATTCGGAGACGCTTGTTCTAATTACGATTTGAATTCCTTTAAATATTTAAAAAGAAAATCGTAAAAAATAATAATTTTAACAAAATTTTAAAATATATAATTTTTTAAAAAATTCGTAATTGTTTTTAAGACAATAAACTTATCATCCAATAAAAACCCTTTTTTTAGGATGGAAATTTAATTCGCTCACGTTTATTTCTTATATTAATAACACTATGCAGCATCAAAAATTTACCTCGATGGATGCTATATTTTTGGATTCGTTACGAATTCCCAAGTTAAACTGCGTTTTCCAAAAAGTTCCCCGACGCAAGGATTCTTAGCAAAAGGACCTCAAAGTTCGAAAAAAGCTGAAATTGGCCAACTTTGCGGAGCTCTCAGAGGCAAATGGATGCATGGTTTGATTCGATGTTAAAGTTTTTTAAAACATACACCTTTTATCTTTCAAACCCCATACTTAAAATAATTTTAGGATTTTTTTTTATGGCAAAAATAAATTCCAGAAAACATAGTCAAAAAACTTAAAAACATACAACTGCGGTCAAAATAGTAGTAGTGTTGCCGCCTTGTGTTTTTAAAAGTTTGTTGTTGTAATTGATCTCTTCCTGGTAATATTGTATTGATTATAATTTTACTATTAGACTAATTGGATAAAAAAAGTTACAACATCAAACTTTTAAAAACACAAGGTGGCAACTCTACTTCTATTTTGACCGCAGTTGTATGTTTTTAAGTTTTTTGACTATGTTTCCTGGAATTTATTTCTGCCATAAAAAAATCCTAAAATTATTTTAAGTATGGGGTTTGAAAGATAAAGGGTGTATCTTTTAAAAAACTTTAACATTGAATCAAACCATGCATCCATTTGCCTCTGAGAGCTCCGCAAAGTTGGCCAATTTCACCATTTTTCGAACTTTGAGGTCCTTTTTGCTTAATCTTGCGTCGGGGAACTTTTTGGAAAACGCAGTTTAACTTGGGAATTCGTAACGAATCCAAAAATATAGCATCCGTCGAGGTAAATTTAAAAAACAGTAAAAATGCTGCACAGTGTAATTAATTTATAACAGAATTACTTTTTAGAAAAATACTTGTATTTTTTCCGTGGTTTTTTTTAACACTTTTCGATATACTTAAGGAACCGTATATGTTGTATACCCCTTATTCGTGGAGTTAAATGGTTATTTTTCTAAAATAATATTTTTATCCGAAATTTTTTTTTTTTTAAGTTTGAAAAGTTTTTTCACTGTGCAGCGATCTCGAAAACTTTGCTTTTGTGTACTTTAGCACTCTTGGTCGTCGTTCCGCCCTGTCCGCTCGCAGCTTCCAGTCCCCGACTCCCGAACCCAAATCCAAAACTTCAGCTTGGTCAGCAGCTGAGTCGGCGACGTCTGCGCAACTTTTGATTTTGCCCGGAACCGGTTTCGCTCCACCAGTACGAGAGTCGTACTCTATCTTTCGGCATGTATTTGTATCTGTATCTGAATCCGAACCCGAATCTGAATCCGAATCCGTAGCAGACGCAAGCTGCCCACATTGAAAAGGCCGCTGCAGCGGAGAGAACAACGCCGATAAATGTGTTGTTAATGATGTTTTCAAGATGCTGCGGTGGGCGTTTTGGGATGAGAAAGAGATGTCATTTGCCGATAATATCTTCTATAAATACGAAGATCTTTGGTGATGGAATGGTAAATAATATTTTTAACGTTTATAAGTTGGCGGTTCACTAGCGTTGTATAGGAGCTATTATTGCAATACTTTGTATAAAAGAATTTGGAGTTCTATAAATAATAAAGATAATAAAATTTGATATCGTTAATATTATTTTACATTTTTATAAAATTAATATAAATATATAAATATTTAAATATATATAAATATAATATATAAATTAATTTAATATAAACTCCCCAAGATTTATTCAACACTAATTTCTTAATCATAATATCACCCCTTATTAAATTACATAGATATTTCGGTAATGATTGGCACATTCGAATTTCCGTGACCGTAAATCGTGTATTATCTCTATTATTAGTAAACATATCTCATTATTTGTTTTATCCATGTTTACCGCTCCTTCAGTTCGCCATTGTAAGACTGTAATTCATTATGCATAATTTGCAGACCCGACCAGACCAAAAAAAACCTTTCACTTGCCCCGGAGCTCCATTACCGATCTTTGTTTCTCTTTCGGGTCACCGACAAAAACTCCAATTTGAAATCGTTTATAAATAGTAAACTCACACAAATACCAAGGGACTTCTAATAATAAGCCAGATGGAAGGGGATATCCACTATATAGTGGATGGAGCCAAATTCATTGCGGGGGCGTTTCTCGATCTGGTCGGGTTCGCTCTTTCTCTTTCCCCATTTTATATGGCTTTCACATGCTGCCCGGTTCTCCTTCGACTTCATTTCTCGTTCTTGCAATCGCTTACATTCACTTTTTATTACAATTAACCTACACAGTGCCTACAAAGTGTGTGTGTGCGAGGGGTTTTCCTCAGTTTTCCTCGGTTTTAATTGCCATGTGGGGGGTGTTGGAAAATCATATCTCTCGCTGCCAAAAAATCCAAAGAACGAAACAAATTTATGACATAGAAATGTCAAGACTTCTGCCAGTGTGTGCGTTACATTTTTCTATTTCTAGAACCGCTGGGCTGCATTCGATAATATATAGCCATACCGTTATGGATGGGATGCATTTACGTAAATGATTTAGAACATATCGAACGCATTTTGAAGGTGACTTTGACAGAGCGAGCAAAGTTCCAATTCACTAAGTTCACCTATTTCTGTCCTCAGGCCCAAATGGAAACTGCAACCAAGAACATTAAATATAATGGCTATAAGACAAACTAATGCATAAGTGCCGACATAAAAAATGTTAACCTATTTCTGTGTAAAAATAGCAGAAAAACGTTTTCCTACAAAATTTGGCATTGAGTAATAGTGAAGGGAATACTTTTCATTTAAGGCAACCAATCACAACACAATCTTTTTCATTTAAAAAATAGATTTAAAATTTAATATCGTGATAAAATAGTTTAAATTACTTAATGGAATATTTAAAAAAATTATTTTATACGTTGGTGATAAAATCGAAGATTAAATCAAAAATATTTCCCCTATTTATAGCATCATCACTTCGTTTTATAAAAGCTGAGGAATAAGAAATTGTATTTCGTAAATTATAATGCAAAGAAATGTAATAATAATAAAACAGACAAATTTGGTGAAATCATATATTAATTAATTTAATAGTAATTAAGATCTCAACACTTCCAAAATGCTAACAGGCGAATAATAAAGCAAACACATGGGGCCAATTAAAAACACAAATTGATGCAATTAATATAAAGCGTCAGCACTTCAATGTATTAAAATCTTATATTTGGCCAACTTATTATCAGGTTAAAAACAGGCTGTTTTAAGCAATAAAAAAAAAATAAAAATTATATACACAGAAAATATAATATTATTCTGATGATGATCAATGAAATGATACTTAAAGCTAAATAAAGTTTTTTGATATTTTACATAAATCTAACTACTTAAAATTTGATTTATTTTGTGCCTTAGAATGCCACCAAACTTCATTATCAGGTTTCTTGTATCAACTTAGTCACCGATATGCGAAAATAAACCACAGTTTAGTTGCCAGGCTATTTTATAGTCTATAGTCCGCAACCTACGCCAAAAAGCTTAAGTCTGTCTACTTTTGGCCAGTTAACCTTTTAGTTGATTGTCAACTCGACTCGCCTTTATTGAACTCGGCTAACCACCCACCACCCTCTTGAAAACCCCCTTAAAAACCACCTCAAAATCACTCGAATTCTCTTTTTCCTACGCTCTTTCTTAATCTCTCTTAAAGAAAATACTCAAGAGGCAGAAACTCCAGTTAAAATAATCCAATAAGCGAGCAAGAGAGCACCGCAGAGTGAGACAGCATGAATCGTTGCCGCAGTGCGAGCGAGCGAGAGGCAGCGAAAATGAGTAAGCAGAGAGAGCGGAGAGAGCACCCATTTCGCCCTCTCTTCTTAGCCGCTTGTCGAATTGGAATTGTCAGAAAAATATTTTTGTTTGTGAGTTGCTCTCTTACGTTTTGGTAGAATCTTTTATTTTTACTTCTAATGTTTATAAAATTATTCAAAGTAGTTCTTCAAAATTTTTTAAAAATTTTTCTTATTTTAACAAAGAAATTGTATTTTTAGTTTTATTTTTATTCCAAAACATTACGAGTATCTGTGGATAAATTCACTCAAACTCGGTGGTGTCGCTCAAGAGCAACCGGTGAGAGACTCTGAGACATGAGAGAATTCCGAGTCAATTGGAATCGTCGGAAATATTTTGCTTTCAGTTTCACAGTCACAGTTTTTCAAATTTTTTCGATGGAAGCGGTTCTGTTAGCGGAAAAGTGAAAATAGAGTTGCAGAGCCTGCCTGAAGAACTGAAAGAAGAAAACCCCTCGAAGAAAATAGCAGCTCTCAGCTAAAAAGTCACCAATATTTCTGCCCAGTCACCGCAAATTGAAATCAATTTTCGTCATAAAATATTTTTGGCAACAACTCTAGAAACGCGGAAATATTTGTCAAATTGAAAGAAAATATTACAAAAAAGAAAAACAACAACGCGAGTGCACGTGTGTGTGTTGGGTGCCGAATAAAACAGTGTGTGTGTTTGGCCTGTCTGTGTGTGACAGATAAAAAAAAGGAGGAAAAAAAGAAGTTGTCGAAAGTCGTGCAAGAAAATTGAAGAAAAATAGTGCAAGCGCTGCAGGGAAATTGTCCGGAAAAATCGCAAAATCCATTGTTTTTTGCCGGCATCTTAATGACGTCACGTCGAGCCGCAAACAACAGCAACAACTTCTGCAACAACGCGCGTGTTTAGTTACACACACATCGGAAAAAAAGGTTAAAAATACATTTTCAATTCACCATCTCGGCGTAAAAGTAAAACAATAAACAAATACAAGAAAAAACAGCAGCCGCTTTTTTCCCCCCAACAAGCAACAACAACAATTTCAACAACTTCAACTTTGCCAGCAACAACTACAACAGCAACAACAAGTCAGCTGGACAACCGAAGGTGTTTATACTTAAAAAACAAAAAAAGATCGTTGTTTTTTTTTTCACTCTTCTCCTCTGTTTTGGTTATTTTGTTTTCTCTCTTTTACGCCTCCGTCTTGAGTTTAAGTTCTTTTTTTATCGGTTCCTTTCCTTCGCCTCTTCTTCCACATTCTGTGGTCTGTTTGTTTTTGTTGTCGAATTTTCGGTGGTGCCAAGTGAAAAGCCGGAAATTTAATGGTAGGGAAAACTAAGTAACTATTATAGGGAAAGTTATTCAAAAAGAATCTGTTTGAAAAAGAAAATTGGCAGAAAATTCCATGAAAAAATCGTAGAAATCATCGGTTCTAAATTACAGTCAAAAAAATCACATAATATCAAATGCAGTTACTAACTTTTAGTATGGTTATCCAATACTGTTATTAAAGGTCCCTAAACATCGATATTACATCGATATTACAGAGATGGTTTGATGTAAAGTTCCCAAAAAATAAATTTCTTTTTGTACCACCTCTAGTTTTACCTCCTTTAATTTGTGCCTAAAATAAAGTAAAAGAGTAAAGACTTCTAGTAACATGTTAGTATTAACCAGAAAAATGTAAATTCTATAGGACTAACAGGTATAGAATAAATACTTTACCTGATACATTTGGCAATTCATTTTGCTATACTTTAAATAATCTCGGAAAATATTTGTGTTTGACACTGCCACTAAAATAAATATTCTGCCTTAATAAATTTATTAAACCCCTCAAAAAGCTTCATTTCAATTATAAAAACGAACTTAATCCGTTAAAATAATGTACATATCTCGTTCATTTGGCTCGCTGAAAAGCCTAATGACCGAAAATCAAATTGAAATTGAGGCTAATGAACTGTGAAATAATAATTAAAATTCAACAAATTGGAAACCAAATTTGTCAGAGTGAAAAGCGGGAATGAATGGTTATTCCACACTATTGGGCAGAAAATGCTATAAATATATCCATATTATTCGGGCAAGAGCCCTAACAACTTAACATGAATATGTTTTATGTGTGCAGTTAATTAACTCAAAAATACAGTAAATACGGCGACAAATCGTGTTCAAATGTAATGCAAATTTAGCAATATTTATTCTAAAGCCGGGCAAGGCCTAGGCCATAAAAAATAAACAGATCTGAGCCAAGCGATTTTTAAACAGTGCGTTTCAGCACTATTAGGCAGTTGTAAAAAGCGCACGTGACAATAAATAAAAGGGCGCCTGAAAATGGCCAATAACAAAATTAATGGCCTAACGAAATTGTTTTGCAAGCTTAAGCTTAATTATAATGGCTTTAGACACCCGAACAGAAAACAGACATGATTCTTAAATTTAATGTGATTATTTTGTTAAACGAAACTAATTTCATTACCGGATTTATTCTGTCACTGCTACAATTGTTTGAAATCGATTTTATTTGAAACTCGAGCCTCGAAACGCACTGTACAATCGCACATGCGAACACATAGATTTTATTTTTAACGAAAAGTCACGTTTTTTATGTGGTTCTCGGCCCAAAAGCGACGCCCCTTGCTCTTGCCAAGTCGTAACCATTAAATTTATGTTTATTTCGGTCCGGGCTTCGGTTTCAGTTGCGAAAAGATTGTTATTATAATTTTTCCGATTTGTTTCGTTTTCCTCCGGTCGAGATATGCAAATTGAATTAGCTCTGCCCGCTGGCGACTAGAAAATAAAAAGCAAAAGTTTGACACATTTTCGTTTCTTTTTTTCGTAAACCCATCATATCATCATCGACAAAAGTGTCAAAAATGTCTTGGTGCAAAAATATGAGTCAAAGAAATCGTTTGGAAAATGCCAAAATGAATTGTTATTTCTGCCCATTTGTTCAATACACTCTGACAAGTCATTCACTTTTTCTCCTCCCGTCTCCACTCGAAAAATCAAACTCGAACCAAAACTAAAAACGCCACGAATGGCAGAAGACGACGGTTTTTGGAAGGGGATTGTTGGGATGAAAACTTGAGGACTTTTGGCATGACTAATCGATTCGATTTTTCGCCAAAAGTCATGCCGCAGTACAAAAAGAAAAAAAACGTCGCTGGGAGAAATATTTATGTGTTTGACTTGTAGTACGAGTGTTTTGTGCTTTAAGCTCTTCTCAATAGGTCGTAAATATCGATAGGAACACCCTCTTTCGGTTGTCGAAAGTGTGGAAATGTATGGATGGATGTATGTAGTTGTTTGTTTGTTCGGCTCGCGATTTAAGTTTTGATGCGAGATGACAGCACTCGAAAAGGTGTCAGAGTTCAGACGAAAGGTATGAAAAGGTCTACTATTAAAAATGCCTGAAAACTGAAAACAAAGCGAGTGGCTTTATGAGTAGAAACCTATTATTAGCAGTGTTTTTTCTGACTTTTAACTTTAACTTCTGCTATATTAGCAGTGCTAATTCATTGATTTTTTTTACTTAATTTGATAAAAATAATTTAGAAATCTCGAAAGCAGGAACTAGATCCAAAAACCCACTCAAAAATGGCAAACTTTTCCTTTAATACAGGAAAAACGTATTGAAAATTCCATATCTGAAATATCACTTTTCCTGGGATTCTGGTTTATATCTCTTTAGGATTCTTTTTTTTGCATTCAAATAAACGTTTCCTTTTCAAAGATTTTCAGATCGTAGTTTTGTTTGGCCATTTCCTCACTCGTTCTTTCTAGTTTTCATCTTTTTTGATATTTTGAAACATGTGCTCATGTCTTTTTTTTCCTTCTAAAAATATCAAAAACTTTTTCTTCGCCAGCGTTTTTGTTTTTGGCTTTTTCAATAAGCGCAGAGCAGCTGCGACGTCGACGTCGACTGGAGAGGCAGCAAACAAGTCGAAAAGAAAGAAGAAAACACAAAACAAATATCTATATGTGGTGTATCTGGTTGGGAGAATCGTACGAATAGGGTGACTCAGTCTAGCTGGAGTAAGGCATTTCAAAGATACTTTTTTCTAAAATTGTTGTACGTATCTTTAAAATTCGATTTTTTTTCTTTAGTTTTATTGTGTTTACTATGAAGCATTTACTCTGATATCTTTAAATGTTTTATTTAAAAGAAAGATATAAACAACAATTTTGTACCTTGTTAATATTTTATCTTAAACCATAAGTACATATAAACTTTCTCGAATAGTTGGCAATATTAAACCCAAAATTACCATTATTTATTTCACACCCAATTGGCGGTTTTATGCAGCTTCCTCAATTATGTAGTTGGCACACCCTAACATAATTCTCTTAGCACATGCCAAAACACAACAACCACACGGAGAGTCGAAAAAGAAATTTTGAACGTGTTTCGTCGGTTGTTGGTGTTGTACCTCCGAGTATTCGAGTAGCCGAGTATCTCAGCATCTCCCATAACAAGCGACAGCTGCCGCACATTTTGGATGTATCTTTTGGATGTATCTGCAGCTGTGCATCCACCGGTCCCCCCAAAAATCCACTCCCCACCTTGTTTTTTTTTTGGCAGCATTTTTGGAACGTCGCTCGGTTGCAGTACGAAAATAAGTTCCTTTTTGTGGCCAAGAGACAAAGTTTCGCCGCTTTTGCATAATGCTGAAATATAACGTCAACGGCATCTCGCCATCATCTTTAACCCTTGACTGGCCCTTGGGCCAACGCACAATTGAGATCAATTGGAGGCAGAATTGATTGTTTAACCTTTCGCATGAGTAAAGGAGAGCGAGTGAGTGGGAATGTCGAGGCGTGTCTGCAATGTGATTATGAGTACACAAATTAGTTCAAAGATTAACTCGGTTTTCATTTCTGTGTTTTGAGGAATTTTTGAATTTTATAAATATTATTCTCTCACTTTGGTTCGTCTATTTTCGGGGTTCCTCATCAACGCGATACGAAAATATAAACATAAATAAGATTTGCCAGCGAAATTAATTGGGCACAGAAAAATCTATGAAAATTTGTTGAGCATTTAGTTTTGGGTGTTCGGACTTTTCGACTTTTCTGCGCTCTCTCGTATTTTTTTAAGATAAGCCAAATGTTATGAATATGCCAAAAAATAGTATATGAGCGCCGCGATAGAGCGCCGTCGCTCTCATTTATGAATTTTGTTTTTGATTTCCCCCATTCGCTTTTATTTTTCGGCCTCTTCTTTCGCTCCGCTTTTGTGTGTATAAAGCTATATATACCTATATATACGTATATAGCTTTCCGACCTCTGACGTAATTACTGATGATCGCGTTTTACGTCTAAGAAATTGATTTGCTTGTGTGAACGAAAATTTAAATATGAATTCGGTAGATAGAGAAACGTGACAATGAATTTTGAATTTGATTTTGAATAAGAGGAGATCAGGTGGAATTTAATGGAGGCTGAAAGATCTGGGGACTGGGGCAAGGTTTTTAAAAGAAAACGAAAGTTTTTTAATGAAATTTTACGGGTTTTCTTCAAAACAATTAACAAAGTTTAAGTACAGTTTTTTTTTTGGTGATAAATGAATGTAAAAACCTAGTTTTATAATTTTCTTATACATAAAATCTAAAATATCTGTATTTTTCAAAAACCCCACATTTCCGCTTTGATATCTGATCGCTCTTCCCTATCGAATCCATTTATTTACGCTTTCGGCACGCTTTGTTTCCTTCTGCTTTCCCATTAGTCATATCCATAGGACCATATATAGATCGATCCGCAGATCTTTTCAGCACCTATTCAAAAGCTCAGTTAAATTATATACCCACACCAAATAAGGAAAAACCCAATATCTAGTGAATGCATTTCTTTTATCTGAACACCAACTTTCGAAAGAGATTTCACACAAGAAAAAAACGCTAATAGCTGTCAATGAAATCACTCAACGGTGTGTCGCCCAAAGTCTAAGAAACTTATAATAATAAACATTGGCTGCCCACGCTTCGTGTACTGCCAAATTAATTAGCCAAGTCAGATGGATGACAATGGGAATTAATTAGGCAAGTCAAAACTCCATTTATGGAGCAGTTTTGGCTGGAAGAATAAAATAGAGCCGTCGAGGTTTTTTTCTCGACCCACCTGAATGACATAAGCCAAAGCGAACCGATCGTTTAACCACTTGCCATTTATGGCTGACATTTAAGTCGTACCATCTTTTGATGGCTTTTTGCCATGGTTCGTTTGGATTTTAGGTGGGAAAGTTTCCTGCTGCCAAACGCAAGTGCATTTTGTTTTTAGAATTTTGTTATACTATTCTCTTAATCAGTTGTCGTTTTAGTGACTAGGTTATATTTTACCTCTTCTTTTTTTGTTGTAAAAAAAGGCGTATGTATATTTTAGGTTCACCCTCTTTTATCTAATCTCGCATATTGATAGCAGCCGTCGAACGAGGTTTCCTCGCAAACTCACCCGGTTTTCACCCATTTCTTTCACTTTTTTTTATGAGCGCATCGTTAAATATATGTGTCATACCTTTGGGGTGGGCCCTGGGTTTTCTGCGGCGCCTCGGAGGAGCATTGTATAATGTTGCAGAGAGCGCGGTTAGTGACCGATGTTTTGCTACGGCTTCGCTTGCGTAAATGTTTCTTTAAATGCATTAACTTGTCGCCCGCGGGGTGAGTGGTTTTTTGCTGTTTTATTTGAGCCTCTGAGGTATTTTTGCAGCAACTTGTGTATGGCTTTAGTCATAACTTGCGCTCCAGTTGATATATTCGTTCCGTACAAGTCGCATATCTAAAAAAAAGAGTATAAAAAGTATATGGCAAATACAAAATATACAATGCGCTTTCACAGCCAACTGTGAACTGCAGCGTTCTATTTGTTGGGTTTGTCGCCTTATCAGCGGAACGCTCTCGATTTGGTTCCGTATGTATGGGGGCTCTACGTAATATATGGGGCTTGTGTGTTGGATAAGTTATTAAGAACGACGGATAATTGATTGGTGCGGCATGAGTAGATAGAAGAGGTAACCGATTGGCAACCAGTTTCAAATTAAATTTCAAAATCTAGCCATAAATTATGTTCAAGTTAATTTGATTTTTTGTTTCACTACTTTTAATGACCAGATTTAAGCACGATAATCTAATCGTTTTAATTATCAAATAACTACGAAGTTTTCACTTTTCAGGCAATAAATATTTATTGAAACCATTCAGTAATAAAAAATGAAATATAATATATGAAATATAATTTGCAGAGGAATTTAAAGTATTTTCCCCTTATCAACAGGGCAACCAATCACTTTTATAACGATTTGAAGTTCAAGATAAAACTATTGGAATCAGAATATAATTTTATCAAGAGATTGTTAAACACAAAAGATGAAAGTATTTTCCCCAGGGCATTGTTATTTCCTCAAAATTCCCAGTTCTTTAGGAGAAAAAAAACCCATAAGTATGATATTGTAGCCCGCAGTTCAAGATGCAATTAGGATTGCCCCAAAAATTCTGCGGGTAGCACAGCTGGTTTCAGTTGACTCAGCTTACATAAACATAAGGTTCAAGTCTTATGTGAAATGCGAATGTGAACCAATATTTAGTGGACTTGCGTTAACAGCTTCGGAAATTAACAGTTTTTCAATCTTCACTCTCTCCCTTTGCTTGGTTTCTCCGGTTCTCAAAGTGTGTGTTTCTTCTTCTTTTAATTTCGGCAAGTTTAACCTTCAAAACACTTTTTGATACGAGACCGAAAAACCACAAAAAAAAACGAAAAGAAAACAAAACCTACGGACAAAACTTGTTGAACTTGTTTGTCTTTGGGGTCTGGGTCTACATCAATTTGCATCGTTTTTTGTTCGTCAGATTTATAAGGTTTTTTTGTTGTATTCTCTCTTAATGATTTTTTAATAACCGAAAACCGATGCGAGATGCGAGTGTCCTTAGATCTCAGAGAGACCAGCGTCTGAAGGTTGATTGTAGGTCGACGGATGCACCGATCTGCTTATTATATATAACATATCTACAGAGGCAGGAGAACCTTCGATTATTCTTGGCCCAATTTCACGTCTAAACACTATTGGGAAGTTTATTTTCGTGCAGCATTTTCCACACCCGCTTCTGGCCATAAATTTTTGTACTGCGTCAATGACACGGCTGCTAATTTCTGGCGCTGTTTCGATTTCAGTATTTGTATCTGCATCTGTATCTGTATAATGTCTTCTGTATATTCCACATAGCCTGATCCACAGCCACGTCCGCTTGTGTGGGCGTCCCGTCTGTTTCACTTGCGTGTTCTTTTTCCCGTGCTCGGTTTTTCTGCGTTTTTTTTTTCGTTTTAGCCGAAAAAGTTTTCAAGAATTATTTGAATACATGCCATAAACATTAGCCCACACACACACACCACACACATGGGGGCTTCAATTTCTCAGCTCATAAATTAAGTCACAATTTATATCTTTGGAAATCAAGTTAAAATACGGAAAAGCAATTTGCAGCTGACATCATGCGGACATATCCACAAATCCATATACTAACAAAAACTAGATAGAATACAGCCAGAGTGTGTGTGTGTGTACTCTATAAAGTTTATTAATTGTCTTCGCTGGTATCTTTCCAAATTGACTTGGCTGAGATAATTTACTGTCGGTGTGTCGGTGCGATATCTTTCGAAATGCCAAAATACTAGATAGGGAATTTTAAGTATTTGGTAGAATGCTAATTGAATTGTAGAATATGTGGATTTATTTCTTAAAGTATTTATTTCTAAAATATAATTAAAATGATTTTATAAAAATTACTTTTTCTTATTGAGTAAAATTTTTCTTTATAAAATCGAAATTAAATTTTTTTTTAAATCGATTTCGTACAAAATTTGCCGTGTAATAATATTAGCCAAGTTACATGGGTTTTTTTGATGACATTTAGTAAACTATGGTCAGTTCAGTTGAAATTCAATTGCAAAATTAGTTCGTCACTCCCAATGAATTTCTTCACAGGCCCAACCCCTCGAAAAATTAAACAAAAACAAGAAGCGCAAAAGAGAGCTTTAATAGATTTCCTTTTCGAAACACTTTGATTCATATGCCGCTGCCGACCGATAAGATAAGATTAAAGACACACGGACACACACCAAAGCAAACACGATTACAGCAACAAAAAACAGCAACAACAATTGCAACAGGCAGGCAAATAGAGATAAAAACAAATCAAACAAAATACAATGCAAGGGGAAGGCAGGCAAACAAACACAAAACTCAAATGCTAATAACAACAAAATATAAATATCATCAAACTGTGTGCCGTCATCGATGATTGAATCACTAATAGATTTTCGAAATTTATTTTCTACTCTCTATCTTAAATAACAGTTTCCTCATGCATTTCTCCTTTTATTACCATATATATAATATATAATTTTTTTACAGTCTTTGATTAATCGAAATAAAGATAAAATAAAATATTTCCATTAAGCCGGTAAGTGCGTTAAACAATTTATTTCATTGCTATAAAAAGTAAATACGAATACGACTCTCTCTCTAAGGCGGTGTCTCTCTCTTAAATGTTGCTTAGCTAAAAATGATATACCTATATTACGTCTAAAATTGCTAAAACACCGCTGGGTTGGGCCTGGAGATGGTATCTCTGCGACTATTAGTGCACTTTAGTTGATAATATTTATATTCGTAGTGTTATTTTTATTTTCGGTCTATGTGCATTGCGCTGAATTGCCTTAGGGGCTAGGCTTAATTTGGCTATTTGGCATTTTGGCTACGGCTCTTGGCTCTTGGCTGATTTGGAAATCCCGCGACCCCTCCAGAAAGCTGCAAACTGGATGCTCACGCTCTACATATACAAACTACTATATACATACAACCAGATATCTATTTGTGTATATCTGGTGAACTATTTTTAGTGACTATATCATAAGTTGTATGAAACGAGAACTTTTATTTTGCACACCATTCGCTCATTTAGTCTAGGAAAATATATCGCAAAAATCTATATTAAATGCTCTCCATTGTGAAATGGTTATGTCTGTCGATTGTCTTTTGTTTAACTTATCATTTGAGCATTGCATTCTGCATAAACGAACCATAACACCAACGATTTGCGCATTACTAACCCCTAAAAACCAAAGAATCCAAAACATGATCAGTTTCCTCATCACACATTTATACTTAGAATCGCTCTGTCTCTCTCTATCTTTCTCTATGACTATCTGTCTCTGTCCCTCGCCATTTCTATTTATCTTTCTTGGAATTTTAACCAAGTCGGTATGATCCTAAAGTTCTATTTCTCTCTTTTACTCTCATTTCAGATAATGTAAAATCAGCTTACACACTGAAAAACAAGCAGTAAAATAATAAATACAAAAATTAACAGCTGCGTCTATCTATAGATATATATACACACACACATCTATATATTTAAATAAGCGTTCGATTTGAATCAAAATTATAGCCCAAGCTATCAGCTATATCCCCACAAGCTTTGTACTCTCCACAAAAAAAAAACGCTAACGAACAAAATCGATAAAAGAAACCAACTGAAATCATACCACATCTGCCATAGATCTATATGCTATATACATATACTATATAGGTGCTGATCTGTGCTCTTGAGTTTAGTGTTTTTTGTGTGTGCGTGTCGCGAGAGAAGCAGAAAAAAGCGTAAAAATAAATACTTTCTCTAGTCGCTAGGCTAAACTCTATATAAACTCCAGCTAACCCAAATCCGTAAACACAGCAAATAGCTATATATCTATAATCCCAAAACAAAAACAAGAACACGATGGCCAACGTTGTCAATATGAACAGCCTGCTCAACGGCAAGGATTCCCGCTGGCTGCAGTTGGAGGTCTGTCGCGAGTTTCAGCGCAACAAATGTTCGCGCCAGGACACCGAGTGCAAGTTCGCCCATCCTCCGGCCAACGTGGAGGTCCAGAACGGCAAGGTCACCGCCTGCTACGACAGCATCAAGGTCAGTATCAACCTAACTAGTACCCAACCACCCACTCAACTCCCAAAACTCCCCCTCTATTGCTTCGTGTGTGACTCGTAGACTGTAAGCTTTAAGACTTATGATTTCTCATCCCAAAAAAAAAAATCTTTATGATCTTAAACCAATACCGAAAACCCCCATTTTAGGGCCTCAACGAAAACTGATCTTGTCTCGCTTTTGTTGTTTGTGCTTTTGTGCTTTTATAAACTCCATTTTCGTTTTTGGTATCTCTGTGCTTCTATATACTTAAAACATATATCTTAAATACACACTATATTTAGTGGCTGTCTCTCTCTAAGTGCCTACCAAATAAAATATATCAAATAAATGCAGCTGCAGCTTGAGGCCGAGCTGAGCTTGAGAACTGTGTGCGTGAGTGTTGTGCTTGAGGCTTGAGTCTTGGGTCCCGAGTAGAAGGCTTTGGCTTTTGGCTTACAAATAAGAGAGTTCCACCACCCATCGAAACCTAAAACCTTATAAAATCCCTAAAACGTAGAGAAAAACGCAGTCAAAGCAGAGAAAAATATCGATATTTTCGATATTTTCATAATATTGTTCGATAATATCGATGTTTTCAATTAGAAAATCAAACATCAATAAATATCGAAAACTCGATTAATTAATTGGTTTAAATTAAATAAAAATAAGCAAAAATTTATATGGCCTTTTCTCTATGTAAGCTATAAATACCAAATAAAAAATGTTCTCTATAAATAAAACTAAATAACTAAAATCGTTTGTCACCGATTCGAGTGATTTTTAGGCCACGCAACTCTTAGAAATGGACAACTTCAAGGTAAAGCTCTAATAATTCAATTTTTAAGTTAAGATTTTAGCTTTAAGAACACCCCCTGCCGATTCTATTGATCACTTCGTTAATATCTGGCCTTTTGTAACCTGAAACTGACACAAACAACCTGCCGAAGGGTAGATAAAATCAAAGGCAAAGAGGTTTCCATTTTCCACTGATTTTTTTACGGCAAATTAGCAGGGTGGGCGAAACAGAAAAGAACAAAAAAAAGGGTGAAAGCAGCTCTTTTTTGTTTTTTAAACACAGGACAATGCCGAAACAAGAGAGCTGGGGAAAAAATTAAGTTGCCCGTTTTGGTGTTTTCTTTATTAAGCTTTTTGTTTTAGCCCCGCAAAACAAAGAACAAACAACTGCCAAAGAATGGCAACATAAAGTGGAGTATTTTATGTATAGTATATAATGCTGACAAAATGCCATCATCATCAGCAGCAGGCAGGAGTAAAAGTAGCGGTGGCACGGCATCACCATCAAAATTTGTGACAGCATAAAAAATTACGTTTTGAAAATTCCCGTTGCCGCTTTTTAGGCGTCGCTGGCAGCCTGTTTGGCCAACGGTCCTTTTGTTATTCCAACAAAACCCAAAGCGGGCGACTCAGTCCTTAAAGTTGGCCATAGTTCGTCCTTTTTCCCCCCATACCATTTTATTCTCTCGCTCTTGAGTCGTCGAGTGTGCAAACAATAGTTAAAACTGATGTTTGTAAGTAGCTCGTTGGCTCGCAGGATCTACGCTTTTTTTTTGTTATTTTTTCTGTTCTGGGTAGGCGTTGTTAATTGAGCCACTGGATAGTAGCCCCTCTTTTGCCCCTGTTTACCTTTTGGTTCTGGACCTCAATGAATGTATTAGGGAGGCTCTAAAATTTCCTTTGTTTCTGAGAAATCTCAAAGCAGAGTAATTTATATAGCTTATCTGAGTATGAATATCTTTTGCTTTAATAACTATGGAATATTTATTAATTTATTAGAGTATTTAAAAAAATTTAATAAATAAATATACTATTATTATTCACGATTTCTCGTCTTCATGTTTAATTAAAAGCAGTTTTTAAACTTAAAATATTCAGAATATACTTTTAGTTTAAAATGGAGGTGAAAAAACATTTTGATTTTATCATTTATCTTCAGGTTGGCAAGCAACCACATACGATTTGATGCCCACAACAATAGTTAAAATCCACTTATGATTTAATCTTAACCGTGTCAAGTTTGAATGCTTTTTAAATATTCATAATTCTGGCCAGTTCCCCAGCAATAATGCCTGACTTTCATCATTAATCTAAGCTAACCCCAAAACATTTTCAATTATCTTTGATGGATCATTAGGAGTCGGGTCAGCCGGGTGCCTGGTGCCTCTCGGTTGGTTCCTTGGAAATCTCATAAGCCTTTTGGCAATTATCCGAAACCACAGCTGCGTGATAAGCGAGTTCTGACTGCAGAATCCACATCATCATCTGTATGCTGTGTGTGAGCGGGTGTAGGTTGGGTGGCAAGTAGCAGCTGCAAGCTGGGAATGGGATATGGGATGGGGGATATGGAAATGGAAAGGACACACACACCCAGTGACCCTTGGGCACTTGTAGTTTTTGCCCGGCTGGGCGGGCAAATAAAGCTCAGACATTCATTGCCCACAAATTAATTGTGTTATCCTATTAATTAACTATGCAGTAAAGTTGCCGAGCAATTTCGTTCGCCTCCTCGGCATTTTTCCACTTTTCCGTTTTTCCATTTTCCTCGCCCTGCTGCTGCGTTGTTCTTCGCCCCTTTTGAGTGCTGTAATTGTAGGCGAGTGTGTTTGCACTCATTTTCACCTCTTTTTGTCCCCACCGGGTTTTTATGTACGTGAGTGAGTGTGTGTGTGCTTGACACACAAAACGAGCTGGGCTTAAATGTTTAACGAACTTAAACGTGGCAAGTAACCAGCACATAATATATATATTCGTATATATATGTGGCCGCCAGTTCGAGGACGAAAGGCCTATGTACGACTCCCTTGATTGTATGCCTATGTATACACGTGTTCCATGGCTGTGTTTAAACTTTTTTCCCATTGCCGCGACACTAATTTATTGCGCTGTAGACTTTTAAATGCCAGTTGCCCACAAAGAAATAGTTTAGGCGGAATCATAAGGGTAAATTGGGTCAATGTCAGGCTTAGAAATTATTTCAAAATTTACTGAAAAATAATTTTATGAAATTTATTAAAAAAAATATTTTTATAAACGATTTAAAATGCTTAGACTTGGCAATTATTTAAAAATGTATTTAACAATAAATTTAAATATATTAAAAAAATTAATAATTAAAAATTAAACATGAATTTAGAAAATATTTTCTTATATTCTTATGACAACATTTTAAGATTGCTAAGAACCATAACCGTTTTAGTTTTTAGAGTTTTTCCATTTCTCCCCTTACTATCAAATATTTACCAAATATTCCAGCCAACTTGAATGCCTTTTAGCTCAGCCAAGCGTTTCGTTTTCGCTTAGTGACCTCTGACCCTTTCAGCAAATTGGCATCATTTCATTTGTAATTTCCCCTCAATTTAATTTCGACCACAATGAGCCAGATGAAACTTTAAGAGCCACTCGGGAAGCGACCCAGAGCAAAAGAGGGAGACGGGAGATGGCGGAGTAAAAGTGAGAGAAAAATCGCATAGCCGTTGCCGCCGCCACAACATAAAACATTTTCCGGTTTATAATTTTCTTGTCAACACAATTTTCACGCCATGCTCGGGCGCCATGCGATGGCCTCACTGGAAAGCTGAACTCCTCCTCACCGAGCGTTTTTCTGGGCTGCCGCTTGGCTGGTTGGTAGTGGTGCCACTTTATCCGTCGTCCTTTCGCCGCTTCGCGCGCTTTTGCTACTTAACCAACTGTAAAGCTCTCGGCCATATTGTGTGGCACCTTATTTTTCTATTATACTCCCAGCCAGCGCTGCAACAACATATTTTTCGCGCCAGCTTTCTCCTTCCTTTGGGGGGCAGGACGGCCAACAAAAGTCAAGTTCCCATGCCATGCAAATTATGGTCGAAAAGAATGAAAGAAAATGGCGCCCCGCAAAAGGAGAATGAGAATGAAAATGAAAATGGCAACTCTTCCGCTCAAGAGAAAGAGACGGGAATAGCTGTTGGCTGGAGAACAAAGGCGGCCACTTTGACATCTTCGCTCCCTGTCCCTCCTTCGGGGCTTTTCTGTTGTTTATACCAATTTTGTAGTTGACGCTTGAATTTCCGGTCGGCCTCGAGCCGCTTCGGAAATACTTTGGTAATTAAATTTTAAAGACAACAGGAACTGCCCAGACATGAAAAAAAAAGAATGAAAAGAAAAAAAATTAACTCTGATTCTGCCCGCTCACCCACATATTCAATGTCATCCAATTATTTTTAATTCCATTATCTAGTTTTTTGCCTTCGCTTCTCCCAATTTGCCATGAGAAATTGCTGGACAGCACTGAAATCGATAATAATAATAAGCAGCCGGGCAGAAGAAATGAATGGCAAGAGCAACTTAATGTACAAAATAAACCAAAAAAAAGAGAAGTAAATCCAATTTAAATAAAAGTTCCCAGAAAATGGGAAATAGAGCGCAAAGCAATGAGTAGAAAACGAAAGAAGAGAAGAATCATCAATAGTTGCTCAAAATAAATGGAAATCTAAAGAAAAGAGCGAAAACTTTGCGGTTGTCATTGAATCAATTGAAATTGCGAATGGCTAAAGAGGCGATTTTTTGGTAATTGGTAGGATGTTTTGATGAATGCCCCGGAATTTATTTTTAGCAATTATAATTAATAATAATAATAACAACGGAATGTTAATTTCGATGCATGGAAACAACTTATTGGATGGGGGTTTATGCTTTTTAGAATGGCGCCCCAGCAGGGATTTTCATTTTGAACTAATCTTAGATTTTTTTTTTATATTAGTTAAGATTGCTAACATCTAAGAACATAATTTTTGTATACCGAATATCAACTTCCCATAAATGGAAACAAGCTTTTTGGCTTTTTTAAAGTGGCGCCCGAACAGGGACTTTTTTTGAGCTTATTATCCAGTTTCCAGTAGCTTCTCCAATATTTGGCTTACTGGCGGCGATCTTTAAACATTTTGTAAGATATCTTTGTTATTTTGTCAACATCTTGTGCCACTTTAAATGCCATAAGACTGCATAAG